TCACCTGCTAGAGGGACAGGAGGGGCATGCGGTAGCATATCTGGATGATATTGCGGTGTTCAGTGATACTTGGGAGGAACACCTGCTCCATTTAACACAAGTTGTGGACCGCATAGCAGCAGCTGGGCTCACCATTAAACCAGATAAGTGCCAACTGGGCATGACAAAGGTTCAGTACCTGGGGCATAGAGTGGGAGGGGGGACGCTTCGCCCTGAGTCCAGTAAGGTAGAGGCTATAATGGCCTGGCCTGTCCCTCAGACCAAAATGCAGGTGATGCCATTCCTGGGTACTGCAGGGTACTATAGGAAGTTTGTACCACATTATAGTACCCTGGCCAAAACCCTAACCGATCTCACTAAGAAAGCACTCCCACGAGTAATTAAGTGGACACCTGAGTGTGAAGTGGCCTTCAGCTCCTTAAAACAGGCCCTTACTGATTCTCCCATACTACAGGCCCCTAATTTCCACAGACGGTTCTTAGTACAAACCGATGCCTCTAATTATGGCCTGGGAGCGGTGCTGAGTCAGGTGGATGAGAAGGGGGATGAGCATCCTATTGTGTATCTCAGCCGGAAGCTGCTACCTAGGGAAGTGGCCTATGCCACTGTAGAAAAAGAGTGTTTGGCCATAGTTTGGGCCTTGCAAAAACTGCAACCGTACCTGTACGGGCGCCAGTTTACCGTGATTACAGATCACAACCCACTGCATTGGTTACATAGGGTGGCTGGGACAAATGGGAAACTCCTCAGGTGGAGTCTGGTTCTCCAGCAATAGGAGTTTACCATACAGCACAAGAAGGGAAGTACACATGGCAATGCTGATGGTTTGTCCCGCCAGGGGAAAGACTCCACCTAATACGCAAGGTAGAGGCATGTGAGCCTTCTCCCATTGTGTCTCTTATTTGGGGGAGGTGTCACGGCAGGGGTGTATGGTTTGTTGTGACACTGTGGAGTGTCGTCTTTTGGTGTGGTTTCTTGTGGTGGATGGCACGGATTGCAGGGATGCTGTTGCTGGGGTCGGCGGGGGTTGCATCTTTTGGGGCTGGGGCCCCCGCGGAGGGCGGATGGCGGAGGGGGTGGTGTGGGTGGCGTGGGGGTGTGGGGGGGATTTGGCTGTGTGGGTGTGGGGTCTGCGGGGTGTGGGGTTCTGCACTTGGGGGGGTCTGGGTGTCTCTTCATCCATTTGGCCTGTGCCTTGTGGGTGATGGGTGGGTCTCTTTGATGTGTGGGTGCCGTTGGCTTTGTTCTGGTGTCGTGTCCAGGGGAGGGACGGGGGCATTCATATTTGCCCCCACGGAGTGGTGGTTGGGCCTCATTTTTGTTGAGTTTGGAGTGTGACGGGCGCCATCTTCTGGCCGGGTCCGGGCATGGGTGGCCTGGCTTGACCCTGGGGGGGGGAGTTGTGGTGTCCGTCCTGTTGGGTCATGGGTGGGACGTGCGGCGTGTCTATGGGGTGGGAAGGTGGTGACAAATTTGTGGATGCGGTTGTTGTTTCTGTGGCGGGTGCAGGAGGGGGATGGAGTCGGGTGTTTCCGTTTGGGTTGGCGGTGGTCTGGAGCAGGGGGGTGGTCGGTTGTTGTTTCTGTGGGTGCGCCTTGACTCTGCCCCTGGGCGGGATTTGATGGACCGCAGGGTGTGTGTCTGGTGATCCTGGGGGGTGTTTGTGTACTTGCTTGGGGCCAAGATCTAATTTTGGGTGAGTCACCATCTTTCCTTGCCAGAGACCCCCTGGACAGAAGTTGTACTTTGAAAACCTAAGTGAGTAATTAGGACTTCTGTATTTTATCCTTTTTGTTTTTATCTGTTGTTGGTGTAAATAATTTGTTTATCATATATTTTTATATGCACTGTGACTATCTTTTGCTCATAATAAACATTCATTTATTAAGTTTTGCCTTTGTCTGGTTAAGAATCACGTTACCTGAAGAGACTAGTTAGTATTTTTGCAATAACTTAAATATTGTGCTAAGTCATATTTGGTGGGTTTTATTATTGATTTATAAATTGTCTTGGTGGTGGCAGCGTTAAAATAGTAATAGTTATATTATTATGTTTAAGTGTGGGTGGTGTTACAGGGGGATTTTGTCATTATTTCCGGTCTAGTGCAGACAAATAGTGTACTTTAACCCTTTCACCACCACAACTACGTCACGCGCACTCTTGGAGTAGGATGCGTTCGTGACAACCTCTATTGTCTATGTTGCTGCCTAACAATAGGTGTATATACTTGTTTATACTGGGTTTAATATTTCTATTCATTGCTATACATTAGCTGATTATATTAGTTCAAAAACAATATCAAATAAAAAAAAAAAATAATTTCAACTGAAAGTATAAAGATGACACAAAGTGATAAAAGTAACTTATACCAGATAATTTTGATAATCTTGATGTACTAGATAAACTTGGAAATCTCAGAATACCTAGTACAGTCAACTAAGCTCACAGCTCAGCTTAGTCACAGAATTCGTATGTCTAGTAACTTATGACATATAGCCTATATTTTATCCTATTAGGCCTATAATAATAGCAATCTAACTCTCCTGATTATGGTATATTTTATGCATTAATTTACTACTATTAAAACATTTTAGACATGCAAGAATCAACCATATTTCGATTAAACCAATAAACCCATATGCACTGTTGTGACAGAGCCATCCGTCTGTCTATTGTGGTGGATTTGTCTATTCCTGCCCCCGTTCGTGTAAATGGCTGTTTCTATAGCCCAGCCATACGAATGACTGTTTTCACCGCACAAATTCACCGAACGGATGGTCACCCAGAAGAAGAAGTGTGCTGCTGGTTAACCTCTTGATCCCAATTAGAACGTTGTGGTTAACTGCAGACACTTCTCAATTAAACCGAATTCAGGGTGGCCGTCGTTCGTATGTCGACCACGAGGCAGCGGCCATTTTAAAACGCACGAAAGCCCAGCGGTGTTTGGCACAGATTCCATGGAACTAAAAACGGACACTTTTTCTGCCGAACACCGCTGAAACAATGGGTCGCCTGGCTGCCTCGACGAAAGCGTACGAACACCCGCCGTTCGTGAGTTTTGAAACACACGAAAGGACTTAACCCAGATTGGGGTCAATCGCATACCGAAAGACTATAAGAACTTTGACTCCATGGCGATTGAACTATGTGTGTGGGATCTGAGCGCTATTCGCTAATAATATGCACTCAGATCCAGGCTATCTGGGGATGTGTGATACGAATGGGAAATGTTCGGTTATTTTAAAGTTATATATTTTTATGTATTTTTTGGTATTGCATTTAAGATGGTGATTTGTCTTTGTCCTGGAGATAATTGAATTACTTCTCAATTATCTCCAGGGTAGAGGGGAGGAAACCATATTGCATTGTGGGAAAAGCTTGTGATTGTATGTCTGAAATGGCCCCATGTCCATCTGTAATTCCAGTCTCCCATTTGGTCCCCTAGGGGAGTGTCCACCAAGTGGGAGACCTGCATAAATACGGGCAGGTAGCCCACAGTAAAGCCAGATCCTGTTTGACCCTCAATGCGGAGCTTCTGTCTCGTTATTGGGGGGATTTCTTCTTTGCGCTCAGAGACTGCTGATTGGAACCGATAGCCGCTAGGTGGATATCGTTGTTCGGCGGCTAGAAGCAGTTCGTGGATTTCCGTTTGGGAGTTTGGAGCCTTTCACGGATCCCGGTCGGGAGATTGCCGCTTCCCCTGGTTGGTTCATATACTGCAGTTTATGCGAACTGAGTAATTGGTATTGCAGAAGGGGAAGGCTAACTAAACGGCAGTTTCGTTTAAAGACACCAGGGGTCTCCGTCTTCGTTTGCACAAAAGGGCCGCTAAAAAAATACTATAATCCCGCTGCAAGAACCCAGGACTGCAGAGCTCTTTCACTAAGCAGCCATCATTACCGGCTTCCGGTAACGCCCCCCATAAATGACAGTTTATCCTGGAACATGAAGTTTAATCTATCCAGAGCAGCAGAAACCTTTCTCTCCACTTCATCTAAGATCCTGGGACATTAAGTATAAACTGTCTTACATGTCTTATATTTTGTATACTTGTGTTTAGATTAAATTGCTTGATATGTTTTAACTGCAATCATGGGAAATATACAATTAGTAATGCAAAGGATAATTGTCTAGTATTACACATGTTTAGCTAGAACATTTTAATAAGTATTTGTCATATTTTCTTTAATATCTTTTTATTAAACATGATCTTTTGCTGCACTCTGAATGATTGTCATTTTGTTGTTACATGTTAGGATATAACTCTGCCAAAATACCTTATGTAGCTAATATCTAAATTATAACTGTACAAAACAAAAGGGTTGGTTTTGAATGCTTGTAAATATATGTGGGCTTCCATTAACTCTATTGTTAGTATAACTAGGCTATGTCTATTGTTAGTGTAACGAGGTTACATCAGGTCATATGACTGGTGGCCATCTTGATGCTCTTTGAAGCACATAGTCGGCAGCCATCTTGGTGCTCCTGAAAGTTTAACACAGTAGTTATTGTGAAACCCTTTGAATTGTGCAAACAAAATCATCTAAAACCACAACTTTTTTTTTATCATAATTTGGGATAAAACCCCTGTTACTTTACATTATATTTATATCTCATGCATGGGTGAGCCCTTTTATTATAGTGCATCCTCTCACTGGGTTATTTATATTACATTGACAGACTGCATATACTTACTTGCTATGGTCCCATTGGGGGTGAGCCCCCATGCCAGCCTATTTGACCTATCAGTATTGGTGCCAAATAGCAGTCAATTGATTGATTTGCTGTCTCTAATACAGTGCATTGACTGGCCCATTTTTCTGTGCCCCTTCCAGTTACTATTATAATTATTATATTTGTCTTTGTGATTTATCTGACTGCTTAATTCAATTGGCCCATTTACTAACAATCCATACTTCTGCCCTTAGCTGCTGCTCTGCTGCTCCCAAAATGGATACCCCTGCGAAAGAGTAAAATTTGCACGCCATGATCAGCGCCGCATGAACTGCGCCGCATTGGCCGCTTCATTGGAGAAAGCTCTGGCACGTGTGCTCCCACAAGTGGCTTCAGATAGAGCCACTACAGGGGTACCATTTTCTGCTGAGGATTTGGAGGCTTCTGATTCCTCCAGAAACAAGCAAACGTGCCCACAGAAGCGTTATTGGAAAGGGGACACCCGGAACACTGTGTCCACTATGCCTTAATTGTCAGATGGTCAAACAGACCATATTTCCCTACATCTTTCCATCCTGGATGAATGACAGGTGGACCATTCCTCTTCCGAGGATGAGACTGAATGGCTGAATGCTGACATGGAAGAACCACCCTACTCTCAGGGACATGGCCGACACCTCATGCAATTTATACTTTACCAGATCCGTAAGCCTCTGGGCAGAGAGGTCCACAAGCGACTACGCCCGGAATTCCCTAGACCATTCTTACCCGATAAAGGGGCTATGACCCCAGACTTTGACATCATGGTGTACACGTATTTGGCCAGAATGGGCCATGACCTTTGTAAGGGTATTGAGCACAATCTATTACTGGATATTCCAGGGCCCTGGCAAAAATCCTTCTTTTAGCTGATGATGATCTCACACAGGGTGGATCACTGGACCTATCCTGTATTAGGGATTGCGCCTTATGTGCAATATGCCTGCTGGGCAATGCTAATGTAGCTATTTACATGGAATGGAGAAAGAATTACATAAGCACGTCAACCTCTACACCACCCTTATTAAGGCTTGATCTTTTACGCGAATTCTTCTTTAATAGCTACCCCTCATATGCCTTTTATGCCCAGAAATCAGGACAGAGAAAGTTGGGTCCACAGGGGATCTTGTGTGTGCATAGGGTATTCAGAGTGTGTATGACTGTAATGTAATGTGTGTGTAGATGGTGCAGTGTGTGTCTATCAGGAATTTATTATTTGTGTATAGGGGATACAGAGTGTGTATAAGGAATGTAGTGTGTTCATGTGGTGCAATGTGTGTATAATGAATGTAGTGAGTGTGTCTGGAATGTAGTGTATGTAAGTGGTAGAGTATGTGTTTAAGGGCTGTAGTGTCAATATGACTTATGGTGTCTGTGTTTGGCAGCAGCAACAGCACCAGAAAGTAGGCTGGGCACTAGGGTAAATGTGAGCTTGATGGTGGTGGGGAGTCAGGTACCACCACATCCTTAATTTGTAGGCTGCATCTACGTGATATAAGCAGTGGATGACCTTTTTCACTCTTGCCATTGCGGCATGCCATCTGCTCAGCTCAATGCAGCGCAATGCAGCAATACAGTTAATTTTCCCAATGATCCATGTAACCTTACTTAGCTGGTCAACCAGTTTTTAATAAACATGTGTAACACATGGTAATGGTTTAAGAAGGCCTGGGAGACCCAGGTGCTATACATATTTTACCCACAAAGAATATATGGGTAGGTATATAGTTTTTACATCCAGGTTAATAAAACTTTTTTAAAAAAATTTAATTCCACCAGCCTCCTTACCTTTGGGAGTGGATTCTTTCTCTGAGGTCCAGTGTGGATCCTGTCTCTGGGGTCCAGTGTAGGGTTGCTCTGATCTTTTTGCTCTGCTCCCTACCAGGATGACTTCATATTTTGGCTCCAGGCATCACAGCAGGGTGTGTGAGGAAGCAGAGCAAGAAGAGCACATAGAACAGCGCTCCCTCCTCACCTGCATACAATATGCTAAAGGGGCCCAAAGGTGAGCCCATTCTTGGGATCCCCATGACACAAGGCTAACAAGGCATCTGCTAAAGTTGTATTTGGTGGCTGCATTTTTGCTCCCCATCCTGGAAACTGCATTGTAAGCTTTGCAGTAAAAACAGCGCTGATAGGGGTCAGTCAAAAGATAACAAATATAAGCATGCCAATAAGGCTTGCCAAAGAGCAATTAGATGAGTTAAATTTGAAAATGAAAAGCTTTTAGCCAAAGAGAGCAAGACCAATCATAAACATTAAGTACGTTAATGACAAAAAGGTTAAGCGTAAAAGTATTGGTCCATTGGAAAGTGAGATGGCTGAGTAAATCAAGAAGGATCACAATAAGGCATATATTTTAAATAATCGTATTTCTTCAATGTATAGGAAAGAAGAATGTATGGCTGTAGATTTGCAAATCCCTTTTATAAAAGCCTTACAGCAAATAGGTAATTGGTTAACTGGACCCATGGCCAGATGATAGTCACCCATGCGTGCTTAGGGAGCTTAGTGTAGAAATGTCCATACCACTGTTTTTAATTTCTCAGGATTCTTTTCTTTCAGGAATTGTACCAGATGACTGGAGAAAAGCAGATGTGGTGCCTATTTTTTTTAAAATTGTTCAAAAGCTCAACCCAGAAACTACAGAGAGTTTAACATCTGTGGATAGGAAATTATTTGAAGTGCTGTTAAGGGATAATATTCAATTCATTTAATTTTGAGCAAAATACATACATATACAAAAGCATATATGCATATGTATAAATACATAAATATGTATGCAAGATGATTTTATATAAATATATTTAATTTACATAATTCCATTCTAAGTATGATATGATAATAGGATATATATATATTTACTTTTTTATTCTAGGTGTGTTATTTTAATATAAGTATATGTTTTATTATTTCTATGTGTGGAACATGCCTGACAACTTAGACAATCTGTCAATCACATTCACTGACACACACCCAAGTCATGTAATCACAGTGTCATTGGATTTCGAGGTCTAGAGACAGAGAATGGTAAAAAATGGGAAGGAGACATAAGTGTGGAAAGACAAAAGAGAAAAGAAGATACATAATATGTTTTACCAGTTAAATGAATTTGGTTTTGGTTTGGATTCCTTGTACCTTAATTACTTCAATAAACTGTAGTGACTATGGTGTTTAGAGCATTGCTGAAGGGTGCCATTGCACAAATCTGCTCCAGGTGTAAAGTACCCTATGTATAGACTGGCATTTGGGGGTCATTCAGAAATGTCCTTATTTTCTTTGAAAACATACATAAAATGAGTTTAAATAGGAGATATTTGACAAGGTTAGAAATAATAAATTTTAAGTGAAATATTAATTGTATTCTTTAACCCCTTAGTGACCATGAACGTTTCAGGTATGTTGACAAAAAACGGTCCTTATGGATCACGGACATACCTAAAACGTCCGTGGGGAATTAGAGCCCTGGAAGCGATCATGTAAAAAAAGAAATGCAAAAAACAAATATGTGGCTACTAAAAAAGACTGGACATACCCCATTTTGAATACCGTGTGTTATCTAGTTTTACAAATGGTATGCCATGATGGCGTTAATTTTAATTCCTCAAAGGCAACATAGGCCCAGCAAACTAATCTGGCAAATTTCAATGTGCAAATATGGAAAAGGGGAAAGCCCTACATTTGACCCATAAAAAATTTACATACGGGCACTGTTGTACTCGGGAGATATTGCTGAACACATATTGGGTTGTTCTTTGTCAGTAACACATAACAGGAACTGAGAATCCATGCCTAAAGTACAATGTGAGAGAACAATAACACGAAAAAATGACTACCCAAAAGTTTGACAAAGACTGGTGGTAAAATTAGTGCATGGAAAGTTTTAAAATAGCACCATTTGAAATACCCTAGGGCAGTGATGGCAAACCTTTTGACTACCCAAAAGTTTGACAAAGACTGGTGGTAAAATTAGTGCATGGAAAGTTTTAAAATAGCACCATTTGAAATACCCTAGGGCAGTGATGGCGAACCTTTTTGAGTCTGATTGCCCAAACCGTAATACATGCCATCCTTTTTTCCTCAAAGTGCCAACACGGCAATTAAACCTGAATACTGAGGTTTAAGTTTAGAAAAAAACAACTCATACAGTTGTCCAAACTAATTCTCCTCTTCTCTCCCCCCAGCATCTTCCCTTTTCTACCCACAGCATATCCCCCTGCCCCCAGCATCTCCTCCTCCTCTCCCCTTCTCCCCTCAACATCTCCTTCTCCTCTTCCCAGATTCTCCTCCTCCTCTCCCCCAGATTCTCCTCTTTCTCTCCCCAGATTCTCATATTCCTCTCCCCGAGATGCTCCTCTTCCTTTCCCCTTCTCCCCCCAGCATCTCCACCTCTCCTTTTACCCTCCCAGCATAACATCTCCCCCTCCTTCTCTCCCATTCTCCATCCCAGAATCTCCTCCTCTTCTCCTCTAGATTCTCCTCTTCCTCTCCATCAGATTCTCCTCCTCTCCCCCCAGCATTTCCTCCTCCTCCTCCTCTCCCCCAGATTCTCCTCTTCTCTCCCCCAGCATATCCTCTTCTCTTCTCCCAGCATGTTCTCTGCTCTCCCCACATCATCTCCTCTTTTCTCCCTGTAGCATCTTCTCTTCCCCAGATTTTCCTCTTCTCTTCCCTCAGTATCTTCCTCTCACTACCCCAGCATACCCCCCTTCCCCCAGTTTATTCCCCTTACCCTCCCAGCACACAGACAGAATACTGAGTACACACAGACAGACTGCTGAGTACACACAGTCTGCTGAGTACATACACACATACTGCATTGAGGGGTGCAGTGTATGTATTTGTGCGTATGGGTGCTGTGTGTGGAGTGCTGTGTGTGAGGGGTGCTGTGTGTGTGTGTGGGGGTGCTGTGTGTTTGTGGGGGGGTGTTGTGTGTGTGGGGTGGGGTTCTGCTGCAAATGATAAATCTAGATTAGCAAACACTAAGTGCAATTTGAACACAGGACAGATGATTGGTGATAATGGACCTCCATCCGACTATGTAGATGTTCCATAAAATAAACCAGCCCTTTCCAGATACAATATTCATTAACAACATGAATAATGTCTACACTGTAGTTCTGAATGATTTGATGTTATTTCAGTTATCTTTTTAAAACAATGAAATTTAAGTGACCCCAAACTTTTGAACATTAGCGTACCTCTCGGCTTACCTAAAGTCACTAGCTCTGACTGTTGATGCCTTTACAAATGTTCACATGTGCACTATTAAACTAATAGTTAAGCAGTATCTATGCATAATGTATATCTATATCTAAAGATTGTGACAAACTGCTGTGGTATTCTCCCTTGTCACAGATATGTACAAAATCCTGTGAACTTTTGCTGTTCTATTTATTTAAGTCTTGCTGAAGAATGTCTAGATGCTGACATATATCAGGCCTCGTGTGAAGGGCCATAGAAACAATATTTCCCTTGAGATAAAAGACTA